CGCTAAGTATCATGGTATATGTTTAGCTTCCAGCTGCTGGCCCAGAGTGGTGCAGGTCTCTAGTAGCATAGATTCTGCAAGATCAGATCTCTCCAGGTGTTCCTGGAGCACTCAAAATGTCACTAACATTTATGTTCAGCACTTGACCTGTAGTGTCTTCCCATCTCTGAATGCCCAGTGTCCAGCACTACACGGGGCAAGAACAACACCATGGTAGTTTCTAGGCAGTTCTCATGAGCTTTTTACTATCAGCATCTGATTTTGCAGCTGCTTAGAAGTGAGACTTCTCAAGAACATAAGGAAGTAACAGGCTTTAAAAGTGGGCAGAGTAAAACCATGTGGTATTTCAGACGTGTACATATAAAGTAACGCTGGCTGTTGTAAAAGGGGAAAAAGAACAGGCACTGTTTGTTGTACAAGGGGAAACAAAACATCAGCATGAGACTCTAGGGGCTGAAGTCCGGATGCCCACATTTGCCACCGACCTTCTTTGTGCTGAACATGTCCCTTAGCTCTCAGGAGCTGTTTGCCTAGAGCCTGTCATTTTGTCTCCTCTGGTGGAATAAACAGCTTATTAGCTTTGTCTCAGCAGCAGGCTAATGTAGTCACACAGGCTTTGGACAAGAGCAGGCATGCACCTTGCCAAGTCAGAGGGTAGGTCATTGGCCCAGAGATGGCCACAGGGTGAAACCAGCAGCTGGTGGGACCGTGGCTATGTTGGGAAACGGCTCAATCCTCGGAGTGAAAGAAATCTATGGCTCTGAAAGGTCATCCCACACAAGCGGACACTCTGCCGTGACCTCCAGTCAGGCTGCGTTTCGTGTCAGCCACACTGAACAATGAGCAGAAATGGCACAACTGTGCTTGCACGCTGGCCAGGATTTCCTGTCTGCCAATAGTCACTGCTTACTCAACCGTGTATTAAAACAACTTTTACCACTTTTTTCCTAAATACTGACACAAATTATCCATATGTATCAATTTTTAGTAAAACAGATTAACTGGCTGCACATGATCTTTTCTTACTTAATCTCTCACAGAAGATAGGAAAAATTAATTATGAAAAGTATGCTACATCCAAACAATTTCATTAATATGCTGTTAATAGAAATGGCACTGCTATAGATTGTGCTACAGTAAAAATAATATTTGTAATAAGAATTATTCAAGCAGATAAGCTCAGTGGGGAAAAAAGGCCAAAATTCCTATCATACAGGCTTTGGAAAGGCTTATCCTTTTGTCCACAAAACCTGACCTCTTTAGTTGGTCTGATAAAAGTAATTCTTCCCACTTCTTCCTTGGTTGCCTCTTTGACATCCTTCAACTGTTGGGGCAACATTATTGCAAATTACTATCAAATGATGCAATTTATACTTTTTTTGCATAATATTACAGAATACACTTAGTATACCTGTTTAAGTGGTGAATGCAGTTTAGAAGGGGGAAAACACTAATTTACATTTTTAAGTATCTTCTAACATGGAAAAGACACTGTCAGTGTGAAAACCTGTAGGGAATAGGAGATGGCTGAGAATGGAAGGAATGATCGTGCCACATTTAAGGATGCATGATCTGTTTCCACAGAAAAAGGTTAGAGAGCAACAAATTCTCAGTTCATTTCGGTAACAAATGAAGGCTGGCTAGGGTAGGAAGTTTCTGGGGGGGAAAGCATTAGCCCATATGTACAGAGCAGCCTCTGGTGGTCTAAGAAAAAATGGTAATGTTTATAACTAAGGATAGAAATATGTTTTTTAAAAGGATGTATGTACATATTTAGCTATTTTACTCAATCCTCCACTCAACACATTAAAAACCAGATGCTTTTAAAATGATCTGTCAATATGCTTGTTAAAATGTGAACAGTAAGAGTATTAAAATTCATATGCATTCATTAGCACATTATATAAAAGTAAAATGCTTGTGTTTAATCATTCCATAAAAGTATTATAGTCAATGCTGATTATCAAAAGTTTTTTTTCCTGGTTTGCATTGCTAAAATTGAAATAAAATTTACAAGAATGTTACAGAATTGATGACATTTTCTGTCTTCACTTGTGAATTCAGTTGGCAGATGTTTTCAAGAACAAAAAAATCTGTCTTATTGCAAAACATATTAAGCAGGTTTTCCTGCCATAATGTTTGACATGATGTTTATTACCCAGACCAAATCAGTTCCTTTAACAAGCCATAATGTATGCCAGAAAGTACATTATTTCATAGTTAAGGAAACTTCCAGCATGAAACAGTAAGTACTTTGATCTTTCAAGAGCACTATGCTTAATGCATTACACACTGCCATAGTCATTTTCATTTATACTCATTTTGTACAAAAATACAGTGCAGTTTGTTATTTTGTATTTTGAGATTCAACTTTTACACAGTCTTGAATACCCCAGCTATTTTTTTTTTACTATGAAAATAAAGAAAATACTTAATAATAATAAACATAATTACCAAGGAAGAGTTCTAATTCTCTGGTTCTTGGAAAATCCAGCTGCATAAGTGGGAACATCGACCAGACAGTTTTAATTTGTTCAAATGGCATTTCCTCACTAGATCACAACAGATCTCAGTAACCCTATGACAACATAACTGAGGATATTTATTCCTTCTGCTTAACAGTCTAAACAATTTCTCCAGCATATTTGACACAACCATGTTTTTCCTTCCACATTAGATAAGTTAAAGCCTTCCTGGCTTTAACTCTTCTTGTTTGTGTGTGTCTAGTCTATCCATGCTTTTTCCTACTTGGCAAAGTTGACATAAAGCCTGCTCAGGTTTTTCAAAACTCTTTGATGAGATCATTACAAATCTTAATATATACCACCCTTAAATATCTCTGTTGAGTGATGGCATGTTTTATGTCAAGAGCCTAGTGAGTCAAATGTATACTGTACTATACTATACTGTACTATACTGTACTGTACTGTACTGTACAGCAGGATTGTATCTGAATTGCCCTTTGAGATCACCCCAAACCACCACCAACACAGCAACCTGTGGAGGCAAGTCCCTGGGTGCAGGCAGAGAGCAATCTGCAATATGGACTCAAGCATGGGAGGCAAGAAAATAGCAAATATGGCATTGCACCTCTTGCAATCATCTACAGACTTAGCAGTTCCAATGAACAGAGTAAATGGAACCCTACTGATGGTCCAGTTTTGTTTCATAAATTGATAAGCAAGGAAATTGCATTGGTTTGTCCCACAATACACTAAAGCAGGTATGCTTTTCTTTCTGTCTCAAAAAACTGTACTAGAGTCTACTAATTAAAAAAACCCCAAAATAATAATTTCAGAATGCAACACCAAGCTCATCAGAAGACCCAATTTCAATTTACTGGACTGGGGAAGGAGACTACCAACCACACTTGCACTAAAACATATACTACTTTCCCTGATTTGAAGAAAATCAAATAAAGAAAACATCAACAGTCACATTTAAGGCATGGAGCTGTGCAGAAAGGAAAATGGGATGGAACAAGAAATTTTATATTTTGGGGGGGGTCAAACCTACTGAAACCAAATTTCACATATCAAGAGGCAAGAGTCATGAGAAAGTAGAACTGCTATAAAGGTTTTGAAAAAAAGGTTCACTTTCAACAAGGGAACACTGAACCTGTATGCTGACTAGACTACTTTTCAGACAAAACAGCAGCACCATCCACTGGATTCTTTTAAGTTAAAACCTTAAGTTAAAACCCTCCTCTTAAGAAGGAGGGTTTGGCTAGTGGATAGAATAGCATCTTATAAAACAGATGCAAACAGAAAACACAGTGCCTTGTGGGTGATTTTGAGTAGATATATATGCATTCCTTTGTTTCCCACACTCAGGTATTTTTCAAAAGACAATAAATATTTATGGCATTAGTGACAGTCTTGTATCCAAGTTACTAACCCTTTTAACTAGCCAGCACAATTATATTTCTTCTACAAAAATTGTTATGCTAAAAAAAGATTAGCAGGGGCATATTGAAATTTAAGATGATTCTAACATGTATCTTACTGGATTTTTCTCTGTTTCTCACCGCAATGACATACTTTTTTTTGGTTTGTTTTACCTTCACTGTGGAGTTTCTGATATGTTTTACTGTTGAATGAAAATGCTGACTTTCATAATAAGGGTTTTGGAAATTATATGACTCAGTCTGGAATGTATAATGCATAGTATGTACATGAAGCAGAATGTGCCAATGTGCATGTAATATTGTTTGTGCCCCCTGCAGAATTAGAAATCCTCCGGTAGCACTATTATAATGATCCCATGCTGGTAGCATTACAAAGTGCAAAGGTTCACTGAGTCAGAAAAGGGCAAGGGACAGAGTTTCTTTATCATACCATTCTCAAATTATTCTAGCTTAAATATTTATTAATATATTAGCAAGTTTTCTCCTTTATCTGCCTTCAAAAGTTTAGCTCAAACACAATGGATAGCTGCTCATATAAAAACAGTACATCACAGGGTAAATTTGCTACCACACAAGATGAACACTGGTATTTTCCATAATACACTATTAATTTGCCATGTGATAAAAACTATCAGGCTGTAACTACTGCTTCCCATGTAATGCATACATGTCACGTATGCATTTATAATATAATAAATAATAATAATGCATACATGACATGTGAAGGTGGTATGTTGCCTAAGCTTCACTACAAAGTCTTTTCTTATGAACACCTCTGTTTATAAAATGGTTTTTAAGAAGTCTTTCTTAAATAATTTCTTTCTTGGTAACATCAGTGAATTCCTCTGGGGTTTATCTGAAGTTTCCCTTTGAAATTAGAAAGAAATTTTCTGTAACACTTCCAAAGCATCATGATCAATAAATGACCAAAAATACCAACAGAATAAAGAGCCAGGAACTCTGTATAAACTCTTGAATTCCATCTCAGTAATGTATTTGTTTTAAGCAAAGCATGCTATTTATTAGCCAATATAGGCAGTAAACATACACATGCATCAATAAAGAAGGGCAAACAAAACCAAAAGAAACTTACTCTAATATAGATCTGCATAGTTTCTTTTTCTTTTTGTGGATTTCGATACTTTTCATAGAAGTCACGTCGCTTCTTTGTTTCCTTCTGGATTTTATCTTTTCTTTCTCTCTTTTCTGCAGGTTCATCTGAGATATCAGAAGACAGCGGTACTTGGGCTTTTGTCTTCTCAACTTCAATATAGTTCTCATTGGGATTCAGAACTATTACTCCATAGCCTTCCTGTTTTAGAAGAGAGTCACACACACATAGACACACAGACACACACAAACAAGAAGAAATGTGAAAAGGGGAATTTAATTCTTGAAAATGCTTTGCATTTACTTTAATGCTCTTTAGAACTTTTTTATTTATTTCAGCAACTTCACACAACATCATTTATAGAAGGTTTTTAAGAATATTCTGTCATTAACAGGATATTGATGTGTGAATATGTATCAGTGCATGTACTTATGCTCATATACATCCCTCAGCATCAGAAAAGTTGCCTGTTTTACCTTTAAAATAATTTAATATATTGTTTTATTCATAAGCACTTTATATGACTTTTTCAGAAAACAATACAGGAACTAAAAGCAAAATGTTGCTTTAAGAACTCTACACAATAATGAATAAAAAGCTTTAAGCCCAGCCAGTAAAAACCTTTAAAATAAAAGGATTGAGAGATTTTATATATAAAGATAGATACATTAAAGAAAGCATGAGAAAATTATTCACATTTTAAAATAGTAAAACCTTTTGTCTAGCTGACAATAAGCATAGCATGCAGACGCAAATAGCAGCAGTAACAATGAATCAATACCAAAACTGATTCAGTGGTGTTGCTTACAAGTCAACTCTTTATGGTGGGTCTGACTTTTTAGTGCATCTTTAAATCTGCTGTAAAAGTTCACTGGGATTATATTGTATATCCAACAAATGCAGAACAAATTTGTGACCTGCAGGATGCCTTTGAATGCATAAGGTACATTTTTTTTGCCTCAGGAAATGAGGTGGTTGAAAAAAAATAAATTTATGAATGAGAAATAAATCTTGAACAAACCAACCAATCAAATGTTATGATTTTTAAATGATGGCAAATCACAGAAAAAATCATAATATTTATTGAAGATATAATTGCAAAGGGAAGGGGAAAAAGAGAAGCACATGCATTTAACAGATATGTCCCTAAAGTTAGTGTGAGTTCCCAGTCAAAATCAAGCTATCCTTTAGAAGTAAATTTTAATAAAGACTTACTTTCCAGAAACATCTATATTAATTATCTAATGGAACAGCTTTATTCCAGCTTCTCACTTGGTGCTTCATTTTGCACTCAGTCCTGGCATGAGGATCAAAAGAGGTCCCCCATACCTAGCTGCCCAGAGCAACCCAAGTCCACCCCAACAAAAGATACTTTATTTGGGCTTGCTTTATTCTATTCTGTAGAGCCATTCACAAATCTTGTAGTTCATTGTGGCCACTGTCAGGTAGACAGACTGTCACTCACTGATTTTCTACAGTTGGACACACTCGACTAGCTATCAAAATCACATCCGAAGGGAGTTCCTACCCCTTATCCTTGTGCCCTTCTCCAACGCCTGCTGTAGCTTCTCCTCCCACCAAAAAACAACTTAAAGGGCACAGTTACACTCTGCTAAACAGGGTGAAATAGAGGCATTCAGGATACTACCTCTGGCATAAGCAATGTAGTAAAAAAGGATCACAACAGGCCAAAGAGAAAATTGTCTCCTTGTTAGATGCAGCACCATAAGGGGTCTTCTGTCACATGATTTCCCAGCCCTGCCTGCCATGAATTTAACTGGGATAAATATAAACAAAAAGCCAAAATATAAATAAACAATAGGGAATAGGTGAAAGAAAACAGAAAGAAAAATTTTAAAATCTATTCACACCATGCCTGGCCATATTAATGCACAATGCCATACTATAAGCACATGAATTTTAGAGCTTGGAAAATTTCAAAGCCCAAATTCATCATGGAGAAGAATGTGGCTTACAAATCTTCCTAAACTGCACGTCTCAGATGAAAGGATAGTTTTTGAGCCTGCTACTGCTGGAGTTTTTGCAGTACTTGGCAGGCTGGTAGTTTTGGGGCTCTTCATCCTCTTGACTTGCTTGTTCTGAGCAGAGACTTCTGTGTATTGATTTGTTTTGTTTCCTACACAATGCAAAATTCATGTCTTTACTACAGATCTAGAAGTTTGAAACTCTGTGCACTTCAGCCTGATCACAAAACAGTCACAAAAATAATCAGAGAAGTGAAATTTGTCTAAGTTATTGGTCATGCAAATTAAAATTACATTCCTTATTTGTCCCCTTTTATGAGGACACAATGACAATTTTTCATGTAGACAACCACAGGTGAAATAAGATTCTATTTTTAAATTCACTATTTTATAAATCAATTAAAGGATTTTTATTAAATATATTTTAAGCACTGCAACGACTCCCTTTATATTTTTTCACAAATTCTCCCAGAGAGCAGGCCTTTCCTGACAGTAGAATTAAAATAATTAAGTAATAACTAAACTAATATTATTTGCCCCCTTCTATTATGGGAAAGCCTAAGTCTTTCCCTTTGGAAAGTAATATCTTTTTGGACTGTTTTGCTTACATGATATGGTGTATCTCCCTTTCCCTTGTACTTCTGCATCCTAAATTTCAAGAAGAAAACAATGGCACCAGAAAGAAGATTTGAGAGTAATATATAAAAATCAACATAGAAAACCAAAATTACTCGTGAAATAAAGCCAATTACAACCTCTCTCATTCAGTCTTTATCTGAACATTTTCTACGGAAAATAAATACTCTGCTCTAAATAACATTAGTGTAAACAATATGGCTTTTAACTTCAATTAATTTAAAAAAAAGTAATTTTTGTGGGCATAGCTACACCATTCAAGTTCAGTGCAATCAGAAAGTGAAAAAAAAAAGGTGGAGCACTAATGCAGTGAATTTGAGAAGCATGCAAGTCAATGCAAACTTCAGAACACAAGACCACTAATATCTTAAAAAAGGCCTTTAGCAAAATTTAATGAGAAGATACAGTCTTTGGCATAGGTATTAACACAGCCAAAAATCACATTCATTAAAAAACATTGTTTAAAATGAAAGTCCTGTTCAGAAACACCTTTGCATGCAGGACAGCATTCATCTTTTTTTCATCATATACAGTCCTGCAAGCTAGAAAGTATTAAATATGCTATTACTATGTATTACTTTGCTATTTGTTAAATCAGTGTCACTAAAAATACCAATTTCAGCCATGATGAGTTTACATCATTATTAAAACATAGCGACCTTTGACTTAAGTAGCAATCATCTAGGAGGGTTTCTAAATCTTGCCACACCCAGCGGTATTAAGTAGTATGCAAACACTAGGCAAAGTAGTAGTTTTCAACATAACAGAAGCTTTCAACGTCATAGTTTTCTTCTCTGTGAGCAGTGTGCACACACAGAGAAACCACTCTATAAAAAGTTTTTTCATGAAAAAAAGCTAAGCTTTAAGGACACTATCCCCTCATATCCATCAGTCTTCAGCCATCAGGGTACCAGTGATAAGACCTTATAATTATGGCAGACACTGACAAATGGAACTCCCAGCCTCTAATCTACAAAATTACAGTTTCTCTCTAAGACTAAAGCACCCGATTAACATCTCTTCCCCTCACGTGGTAGTGCTTCAAGGTAAGTAAAATTTAATCTACACTAACTCCTACTATTCTTCAGGTTGCTGCTTCTGGAGGTTTGTGATGATGAAAGGAAAAGCAGGCTTACTAAGTCAAGAGTTGGAAAGAATCATGAACCTCAGTTACAATACATATACTACTAAGAGGGAACAAGGTAGAAGGGCCTTTTCCATTGTAATACATGAGCCAGAAATGGGGCAGTATGTTCTCTCTCTTACTGGAAGTTCAAGGGGGTAAGCTTAAAAAAAAGAACCTCAAAGTATTTGAGGTAAATTTCAAACAGTTTGAAGTCTCCCCTGCCTGGCACATGAGAAATGAGCTGAAACCATTCAGATCTGCATATTAATCCATCAGGGTAGGACACAATATGTGACAAAAAGGTCAGAGCCAGAGAGGTATCTTTTGACCTATGTAACTATCTTTTTGGACTGTGAGCAAGGATTTAAAAGACATCATTCTCCAATGTTTGATCAACCTGAATTTTCAAGTTCAGGTTTCTATTTGGACGGTTGGTAGCAAGATCAGAATTAATTCCTTGGGGAAATGCAACTCAAAGCACTCTGTTCTTAAACCTGCCTGTGGTTAAAACAGACACAGCAATGTCCATTCATCTTTTTGAAAGATGTATGCTCTGCTCATTTCCCATCTTTACTTTGAGAAGGGTACATCTATGTCGCTATTGCAACACTGTAGGTGCAACAGCAGGATGAGGTCATGACAACCAATCAGAAGTCACTAGTGAAGCGTTAAAGTAAACATAGCTGTTGGAGATGCAGCTCAGCTTGAAAAATGCCCCCTCCATTATTCGAGCAATTTTCTCAAGACGTGACCTGTGACTGAAACGCCTGAAATGTCAGTTGATTCTGCTTTCTGTTTCCACCCAATGTACATTTTGGCAACTGCACCCTGCTAACACTGTGATATTTCCATCCCAGATATACCTCAGCCGCCTGAATTCCACACATAAAAATGCCATGCCTCTGCCAAACACACTTTGTCCCGCTAAGTTCCAAACTTAAAACAGCTCATCAGGTTAGGCAGGAAAAGAAAACGTACCACAAAAAGATTCTAGAGGACCACCTGTTGTCTATTATTTTTACATAGCACTTACTCATAAATCATAACACAGGGTAATTAATCAAGCTGTCAAAGAGAAGGTCAAAGGTTATGTGGGCGAGTCAGAAGGTCATGCATGGGCTGATAGAGGTCAGGGTCACACTGCATTCCTCATTATCAAGTTGGGATGAGAGACGGCCCAAGCAAACAAAAGTGAAAGCAGATGGAGAACTGAGTAGATAAAAAAGAGGAGAAAATTTCACAAACAAAAAGAAGTGGAAGAATGTGAGTTACCTTCAAACAAGGAGGAGAATAGAGCAGAAATACACTGAGATGTTTTCAAAAGACAGCACATAATACAGAGAAACTACAGTTTGATTATTCATACACATTTACTACAACTTTCCATTCACTTTTGTTTGCAAATACTAAGCAATGCCACAAAAAGTGCATGGTAGTTTTGATTACATTGCACA